ATACCAGTATACAGATTCTAGTTCAGATAATTTTATGAAGTTTTTGGATGCTGTTAAGGAATTTTGTTTCGCTGAAGATATGGAAATTTCTAAATAAAGTAAGTGGATATTTCTTTTGTGTAGTGTTCAGATAAATTTCCTTTTTTATATTATTTCATTGTTTGATTTAAAATGTAATTTATTGAGATTATTTTTTGTTTGGCTCTAGTGTAGAATTGGCTGCTCCTTTGACTTTTTAAGTGAAAATAGATCGATGTGTATGTGGACAAATAAAAGGAGTGTGCAATGCCAAGTTTTTGCACTTCTCTCATGTTTTTTTAAGTGAAAATAGGTCGATGTGCACATGATATCAAGTTTGTGCAATTCTTTGGCTTGTTATTTTGGCTTTGTGAAGCAGAGATTTTTTGCGCAAAAATCACCACTACAGAAAGCCAAAATAGCAAGTCAAAGAATTACACAAACTCCGGTCGTGTTCATATACTGGCAAAAATCACCAATTTTTATCAAGGGGCACCCGTAAATATATTTTTTACCAAAGAAAACACTAGGTGCTGAGAAACTGCAGAACTTTCTGGATGATTCTATATACAGTCAAAAGTTGTTAATTCGGACACCCATAATCTGGAATGATCTATAATCTGGACCTCAAAGCTACAAACTTTCTGCGCATGCGTCGCATTGACACATGCGCATAGGCGTTTACGTGTGAGCGTAAGACCTTTACGGCTGCGAATATGCTTGTGCGCATGCTCATAAAACGTTTACGCATGCGCGTTTAATGTATAACGGACGGTGTAAGCTAAGCTAAAATTATCTAATTCAGTTAATGTTGCAGATTGCGTTGTTCCTTAATCTTCGAATTGGATCCAGGCTTATTATTTTTTGCAGACTGTTAGAGCAATTTTATAAAAGTAAGCTTAAACTTTCGATTATATCAAATAGAATTTCCGATATATATTTGTTAATATGTAAAGGATCTAAAGCGAAAGTATGTTTCGAAATTCCGAAATCTGTTTATCAATTTCACGCTGCTCGGCGGGGGGAACGCCGCGGCGCGCAATGAATTGGAAGTTGATCTGTCAGCACTATCCTTATCTTCAGGGCAGATGTTTTTATTTTATTTGGCTTATAATTCCTTACTAAATGTAGTATTTCATCTCGATGTACTCCGTCTTTGATATGATTTAAAACAAGTTCCTCGTCATTATAATTCGCTTCCGATAGTGAAGAAAGTGACAGAGGTTATTGAAAACGAAAAAATTTCGATTGACAAATTAGTCAGTATTCTCGACACAGCAATTATAGGACTTGAACAGCAGAACTTTGTAACTGAACAAGAAATTATGTCTGTTTAATAGAATTAAAGAGAAAGTATTATCACATGAAAACGAAGCAACTTAAACAACTTACATTGAAAGAAATGTTTAATAAAGTAAACAAATAAATATTAAGCTTTTTCTTTTTGTAAATTTTGATACCCTTTAGATCATACTTGTTCTTTATTTCATAAATTACGGTTTCATATTTTTAATTTTGTAATTTCTGCATGCCATCTTACCAGATTTAAACTGATGATCTATAATCCGGAAAAATCGATAATCCGGAATCGAAGTCCCGATGAGTCCGGATTAACGACTTTTGACTGTATATACACCTTCTTAATAACTGCTTTGAAACACAAACTCAGATTTATGATAACTTTGTGGCAGAGATCCCCCTACCAATTCTCAGAAATTACATCCTAATGGCTGCTTGGATATATACTGCATTTGCTGTTTTCTTTCGGCACACTTTCTGCTTCAGATATCAAAGACATCATGAGAATCAACATCAGCGCAGTGTGGTGTCCCCGCTGAACTGCCCGAATGTTTTGACAAAATATTACATGGAGCTTAAAATGTTCATACAAGAAATTCAGACATTTTTTGGATTTGGAATTATGAAATTTCTGCATAAATATTTTGAGTTCCTCTGATGTTTCCTGGCCAGTTTATGTGGATACTCCATAGTCCTGATATTAAACGCAGAGATTTCTTTTTCTGAGGTTATATAAACAAAACATCTACTAGCAGAAATCAGCAGCAGTGCAACTGTAGGTGATGATAATGACTTTCTTCTGGAAATTCATAGTAGATTTGCATCTGAAAGTTACCATAAATCTGAAGGCCTATCCTGAAAAGGTTATATCCTTAAAAGATGGATATATAGAACTACTCCTGTTTGCTGGTTAGCTATGTACATTCTAGTGATTACTTTAGTACAAATTTTCAGTAAACCTTTTTTCCATTTACATATTACCCCGTCAATTGAGAAACTGTCACCATGCAGCTTATTTAACACTAAATATTACAGAATAAGCATGCTGTAACAACATACTCATAACATCTGTGTTTTCAGTACTCTTCTGTTATCAAGACTGGATTTAGAAATGTATGTATATATTCCCATGTGTATGTATGTCCGATGTGTGTGTACATACACACATACATATATACATGCACACAATACATACACTTCTGAACCCAGTCCCGATAACAGAACAGTACCGCATTTTCGTTTGATATAATCCCAACTGATTCTCAATAAGCCACCTTTTGTTTTTATAAACAAGGATTATAAATTAACTGTTATTGTTGCATTTTTTCTTCTTCATTTTGAAAAAAAGTTATAGTTTGATACCTGCTTTTTCTAGATCAAGCAGTGGATTACTTTTGAAGTTGTTTGATCTTAACATCAAAAAATTGTATATTAATGGACATGATATGGCCAGCTGAATACAACCAACAAAACAGTAATAGACTGGAAGAATTAGTTATGGAAAGTTTGTACTCATAGCATTCATTCTAAATACGGCTCAAGGTGAAATCACAAAATCGAACGAATAGTGCAAATTGATGAAAGCCTTTTTATGAAGTACAAAATTAAAGTGGGCAAAATTCAGATTGTTTATTAAATAAAGAGGCATCAGTTTCTTCAGAATGCTGCAGGAACACAACTTTCACGGGATCTCTGCCAGCTTTCAGAGTCGTTGCGATTATATGTAAATTTGAAAGCTATTCAATAGGTTTATACCAATGAAATACTCTTCGAATCATAAAAATGATTAAACAATCTGAGATAATAACTGGCAATAACAAATCACCCAATATGTATCGATGATTTCAACTCACACAAAGCATCCACTGTCTTGTATAGTCTGCATTATACAGATAAGTTAATGTTCCAAAGAAATAACATGAAATGGAATACAATTATCAACATACTAAAGCCTAAAATTTTGTTTATAATCATAAAAGCCGTCCAGCCAGGATAGTGGTTAACGATGCTGACTGCCGTACTAAAGGACTCAGGTTCGAATCCCGGAGAAGGCAAGGATGCTTGTAAATGTAGTGTCTGTGTGGCATGGGGGGACTGTAAATATACGACGAGCTGAAAGTCCTCTTGAGAGGGTGGTGGCAAGAGAAGAGGGGTGGGAGATCTTCGGACCCATCCCTTTGGGGTGCTCTCCATCAAAATTGGGGACGGAACTGAAGAGTCATACTGCCATGTGCATGGTGCCCAAGGGTCTTGCTAATGACAGGTGCAATCTTGACTCCTTGCCACAATGAATTTCATGGGCTTGCTCTGATTTCAGAGACCTGATCTGATTTTACTGTCGATCAGGTGGGATAAGTCACAACAAGAGGTACTCTTCTATTATCGGGACTGAATTCAGAAACGCATGCATGCATGCACGTGCTTATGTATGTATGCATGTATATATGTACATATGTTCATGTGTATATATGTGCATATATTATGTTTGTACACACACACACATATATACATACATTTTTGAGTCGGGTTCAGATAACAGAGTACCAAACAATCATAAAGTATTTTTTAACTTTCAGTTATGCACTAGGCAAATAATACTGATACATTCCAATCAATAAAAAGTGTTTTATTATATATCTACTTTAATAATGCATTTTGTAAAAGGCCATATACACAGTACTGTCAGATACTGCTACAGGTTATCACATACTGTACTGGATGATCAGCTGTAATTGTGATGTAGCAGTTTCCATTTAGAAGATACACACTAATTATTTTTTAAATTAATATTTTATTACCTTTTACAGCTTCTTTACTCATTGGTAATAAAAATTTTTCTCCCAGTTAATAAGTTTACATAACATAGTATGAAAAACAAATTCTCTATACACTATTTTATAACAAGGTAAGACACAGCCTACAATGATCATTATTAAAAATGCTTTGTTGTAACATACTGTGACTGAAATATAACATTACATGTCTGTATCAGCAATAATTACATCATTTTCTGAGAATTTATGAAAATTATCAAGTTCATACATTATTAAAAATACAGAAACTATTATATAAATTAAAAAAAATATATATATAAATCTGTTGCTTATCCTGACAGATCTTCCACACAAAACAAAATCAAGACTTTAAATTAACTCCCACGTTTCTAAAATATGTTCTCCTAGCAAAAAAAGTTGCCGACCCCTGCCCTAAACAACTTCAAAATTAAGTTCTATTTTACACAGAAAGGTATATATATATATATAAATTAGAAGCGTGAAATTTAAAGTGTCCAATAAAAATAGAACAAATGCTTAAAAATTCTACACGCTTCACCATTATGTTTATCATAAACATAACTTAAGTAAATCTGATGAAGTAAAATTAGCTTTAATGTAAATCATAAAAAGTATACGTAAGCTTAAATCAAACTTGAATTTCATACTTACGAAAATTTCATAATAAAACAGTTAAATAAAAATTTACACGGATAAGGCTATAAGATGTAATTGTTCTGAAGTAACAATTTTCTGACTTTAATACCAGATTGAAATGATTCATTTTTGTGCATTACCAACACTATCAATGCACTACTGCCAAGTCTAGCAGACGACGTAAACAAACTGAGGGATGAGACATATTGTATAACTGACCTGTAAAGGTCGTCACAATTTAAAAGAACTTACCTTCATTAAAAATGAAGGGAATAAATGCACACACCTCACTGAAGGTAAGATACACAGAAATAATTTTTTGTTGCCTAAAAGTCTTACAGTCACTGAGTTAAACCTTGTTAACGAAGAGAAACCCATAACTCGCCGGAGCCATGCACGCTGCTCACCTCACTTTTCTGCCGCAGTTGATCTTCTGCTATACCGCTGATTGCCAGATTTAAAAATTTTCATCACTGTGAGTTAAAGTAGAAGTGTAAATGTTAGCATTGCAATTAATGCCATCAGGAATAACACTTAGAGAACTGGTACGGTTTTTTGCTTTTAAAATTGTTACAATGTTTGCTTTAAAGAAAAGTAAAAGAATGCCTCTTTAAAATTAACCACAAGACTACAAATATAAAGATATAACGGTCACTTGTCTTTTTATTATTATTTATTTACCATAGATAGGAAAATTTGGGACTTAAAGATACAACATCTTCCACACAATTGTTTCAGGAATGATGAATTATTCACTCTTAAAGAAAGAGAACGGAAAAGTCATAAAATGAAGCTTTACTTCAATTCGAATGAAGTACTAAGATGGAGGTGTGAAGATGTCACCTGCCGGTAGAAAAAGCATTACGTTCGTAAAATTGGTTTGAAGGATAGAGAATCGGGTTCTTAAAGGCCTGATTCTCTGTCCTTTTAACCAATTCTGTGAAAGTACCATTTCATTATGCATGGTGTTTAGAATTTCACACCATTTCATTTATGCATGGTCTATTTGTCAAGTTCAGTGGAAGCAATGCTTCCACTGAACTTGACAAATCATAAAATTTGATATATTGTTAATATCAACTTGATATGAATCATTGCACTTGTTGATTGGAATAGCTGTAAAAGGAAAGTCTGCATCCACGCATCAATATCTAATAATAATAGTTAAAATAGGAGGCACTGGTAATATTGTCGAGCCTGTTTTCGTGTCGAAAAAACAAGTTGGTCGGATCCTTCCACCGAGTGAGAAACAAGGGAATGTTTTTTGGTTGCTGTGCCTAATCGCTCTGCCCAAGCAGAACATAACTTTAAAAACTTTAAAAATCAGAACATTGTTTAAAGTTATTGAAGAAAATATTTTTGATGGCACTATAATAGACCGTTGGAAAGGGAATAATACTGACGGAAAAAAGGAGGCCAGATTTGAATGTGTCTGTATTAACCTTAATATAATTTTATGGATCACAATAATGGTTGTTATACGCAAACTATTGAAAGGTGCAGTGCAAAATAGTAAAATAAACATTGGCTTGGTGAAAAAACAATGGCCATTTATTTTTCAATAAATGGTACCATAATTGCATGTTTATTTATTAAATTTGGTATATGAGTTCAAGATATGTTTTCTTCTTGAAGATGAAAGCCTGACATTATGCTTTTAAAATATAGAGAGAATTGCTTTAGAAATAGCGCCAGTTTAAGAACGAATTTATAATATGAATTTCTAACGAATTTTAAAATTCTAATTTTTATTTAAAGCTCAAAATTTGCAATGATTTGTTATGTATTTTATGTTTGTATTAGAGAAATACCGTAAATTGACAAATGACGGCCTACATGGGTTTTTTGACTAGACTACATTTCTTGTATTTGCTGTTTTCTCATGCTTGGGCTAATTGGATAAACCCAGCCTCATGAATTTTTTTGTTACGTTCATAAATGTTTTAAATGTTACGTTCATAAATTATACATGTTGCCTAAGAAATAATAAAGCAGAAAATGTTGTTATAAATTTTCAAGGGGGAGGAATTTCTCCAACGAAATTTTTTAACTCAACAAACATAAAATGATCTGCAGTTTTTCAATCACTTTCAATTACTGTTACAAAATGAATAATCACTACATTCTAGATGGACGAAATAATCATTCTTTACCACGGGAGGAATGAATTTCTATATAAAATATAAAGTGTTAGAAAACTTCATAAAGGTAAAAAAATTTTCTAAAGGAAGAAAAAAGAAAAACGTTAATACTGAAGATGATAAAAAAAACGTTCTCGACATAACAACAAAGTATATGATGTTATATCGTATACCCTTCGTGAATGCACTTCAACTTGTTTGTTATTCATCTTTGTGATTAAAAAAATTAAACATAAAAGTACTGATAAAAATTCCTATCTTTAACGTAAATACCAGTATGAGACGAAATAAAATTTTTAATGTTATTTTAAAGCTTAATCACTGTTTCTGCAATAATTTTTCTAACCTAATTTTTGTTTCGATGTAATGAGATATGTATACTAAAATAGTAAATAAATAATATGCTAGATTTTGTAGCTAAAAATTTTAATGCAGATTTATTTATTTCTATTCTTCAGATTACACTGATATTTAAACAAAAACGAAACTAAAAACACAATAGGAAAGAAATGAGTTTAATATAGAAGAGCTGAACACTAAATATGAAATTTATCCTGTGGAGGAGAAAATTATATGCATGATTATAACAAAAAAAAAATCAACTGTTGAAAAATGAAATGTTGAGATATCTAATTATAACGAAAGGTTACCTTAAAAAAAGTTTTTAACAAAGTTAAAAAAAACATGAAGGTAGGAACTTTAGTGCGGGTAGTAATTACCACCCAAGTCTACGATTTACTGCCAACGTTTGGTAGTTTTTCAAAGTCTTCGGCCCAAAAACTTGGTGGCCGCAAGTGCAGAAACAGATCAACCTCATTTCGGACGTCCTGTGCAAAATGGAAGATAGCACTAGCAAGATAAAGCTGCAGGTGTGAAAAAGTGTAGAAGTCCGAAAGCGCGATGTTGAGGCTATATGGTGGGTGTAGCAAAAGATACCATTCGAATCCGTACAGAGTTCGGTGAATGCAAACACATGTGGTCTAGCATTATCTTGATGAAACATTACCTTTTTCTGCCGGAACCCAGTTCGACATTTTTCCTTAATAGCAGCATCAACACGGACTGGCATCTCGCTGTACACCTTCCTGTCGATAGTTTTACCTTTTTTCTAGTTATTCTTTGTGGATATCACCACGGCAATCCCGTCAAATACAAAGCAGGATCTTTTGTTAGTCAAATTGCGCTTTGCGACTCTGCCGACAGGTTTACCGGGCGCAGACCAACTCCCCTTTTCAGCCTGTGTTATTGAAGTAAATCCACTTTTCATCACAAGGGACAATCAGGTCCATATTTTTGTCCTTGCATTGATATTCGATCAGATTAGGGAAGGCCTGAATACGTCTGTCCTTATCTACTTGAGTCAGTTCATGCGAAACCCAGCGATTGAACCTGTAAGTCAAGTTTATGCGATGTATAGAGCGACTAATGGACATGGCACTAATGTATATCTCCTTAGCACTAATGTCTATCTCCTTAGTGGTTGCATATTGATCTTCTTCCACAATTTCTCTCAGGCAGACCTTATCAACATCAGTAGGCCAACCAGAGCCCTCTGCTTCCTGATTGTCATAGTCCTTGTTTTTGAACTTTCGGTACCAAACATTTACAGTGTTATATGATACAACATTTAGTACCTAAAGCTGTACGCATGATTTGGAGACATTCTGTAGCTGACGTTTTGCAACAGAACTGGAAGTAAACGATGGTTCTAATCTGGTAGCGTGATAATTCCATTTCAGACACCTTGTACTTAATGATACCGATACTTTTTTTACAGATTTCACAATACAGTGTTCTTAAGCAAGTCTCTTTATTTCAAATGCTAAAAATAATTTCATAAAATATGATTAAACACGCCAACGGGAACTGTTTGAGCCGACGATATTTCCGAGCGTCACATGGATAAGACCATCATCCCCTGGTTTAATTCAAAACATAGAATCAAATAAGGTAGAGAAAACTGTATTAGAAAGGAGGAATAAAGTGTATGTTTTTAGCAAGATATCGCAAATCTGGTTCTGGAAGTTAGAGAAAAGCATATTAATTTCTGAAGGACCGCTTGAATAGAGAATTCTGCTTGTGCTGTAATCATTACAAAGAAATAAAATTAGAAAAATGAGATGCGCATCGCCAGGAGGAATAAGAGACGTAACAATGATGAACGAGTTGCATCTCTTGCGGTAGAAAGCTACTTATTGTAGCAGAAAAGTTATAAGAAGGAAAAGATCACAGATGTAAATCTGTTTATTTGTGATTCTGATTAATACTGAGATTGAATAAAAGTCTTTGCTATTATTTTGACTCATCATTCGTAACTTACATGACAGAAAATATAGCAATATTCAATAATAATATTAATTTACAGATATTAAGAAACTGATAGTTTAAACTACTACAGAATCGGTATAATTCTTTTTTTTTTTTTTTTCCTTCTGGGAGTCAAAGTTAATCTTTGTTCTGATTTGATAACTTTTTAATTTCCCATTTCTAAGATGCATGTATATACGCAGCATGTTTAAGAAATTCTGAATTTTCAAATGAATTTTTCTATGACCAGTAGATCTTGAAACACTGTGCTCTGCGAAGAATAGAAAATGCTAGTGTAACGATAAAAAGCCGAAAGATTAATTTCTAAAGTTAAAACCGGACCTTGTAGAAGACAGTCAGAGGAGTGAGTAATAAAAAATAAATGAAATAAAAATAAATAAAAGACATCTGAAAGGCTTCTGATTTTAACGATCGCCCAATAGGATTTATTAATGTATTTTCACAGTCTAGCAATCTGCTGTTACACTCGCTTTTGCAAACCCATTTCTTTTTGTTGTTTTTAGCTTTATAATTTAGCATGAGTTTCTTCTATTTAATAAAAATTAAATTCAAGAAATATCATCAAAAGCAAATGACATAAAAAATAAACCTTAAAATGAATAAATTACTTAATAATTAGAGGATAAGATACCAAAGGAAAAAAGTGTGGCAAGTACAGTAGAACTCCAGTTATCCGAATCAATTGGGACGGGGCCTCATTCGGATAATCAAACATTCGGATAATTGGATTTTTTCAGAAGAAAAGGTCTACGTACATTTTAATTAATTATTGTATGTACTGTATGTTGAAAATGGAAGAAAAAACTATTTTTTAAAGAGATTTTAATTAATTAAAACGAAAAGGCAATACTTTTACGTACATGTAGCGTACTGAACAGTATTTACAAATGCTGAAAGTCGTTGCTTGCTGAACGTCTCGGTCAAAGTAGGCTGTTTGACTATCTTCATCCATTTTTGGGCAG